GATGAGGATGCATGAGTTTTGCAAAGGTCGTCGCCGTCAACAACTCTCAAGGGCAGTCGCTTCCTCATGTTGGACGCACTTGTCGTATTCCGAGCGCGCTTACCTTCCATTTCTTGCTGACCAAGACATACAACATCTCTCGTTCATTTTCCAGCTTTCGACTCCTCTCCAAATCACCATCTCTTCGTCCGAACCCCTTTCGTCTATTGTTCACCGTACCGTCTATGATTATCGTCCGCTTGCCTCCTCTCGATAGCGCTGGCCGCTACCTGTCACTCGTTTTCTGTTCTCGAACTGCCTGGGTCGGATCCGGAGAGTGGTGAGGTGAACGCGAGCTTCCAGCACGTTCCGCGTCCATGATGAGCCCGGGCGTCGTTGTTGCAACTCGACCGTGCAGACCGTGCAGAACGTGCTCAGTGACGAGAAACCTCACCTTACCCCACCAACCGCAAATTACCACTTGTTTACCCACTCCGCTTTGCCCACTCGTTCACTGCACTCGCGCCATACTCGTTCCGGAACCTCTCAATTGCTCGCACTTTGCATTGCCCGACGTGACGTAACTTTATTAACCACTCGCAGTACATATCAGATTCCTCCGCTTTCGAACCGACCGCACTTGTTACTACTCGCCCGAATCGTCCCTCCCGTCCTCTACTTTGTTATCAGTTTGGAGAGCGCACAGCTGAAGAGACCGCAATCGTTTTCCAATATTACCGCTCCCGCGACAGCGTACCGCATCCCAGTCCCCGCTCCGCTCAATACACCGCTGGTCGAGCAGGCGAACACGTACCTGAGCCCGTGACCGATATCGCAGGCTACCACTGAGAGTACAATAACTTCGATCACGCAGAACGTACGCTCTCATTCTCACCTTCTATCATCGCTAGGCTGGACCTATGGCAGCTAAGACATATATTAGGCAACTTTCAGCGCTACAATAACACACATCTCTGTCGGCAAACCTCTTCTACCCAAGAACTCACCAAATAACCAACTCAACTTACCAACTACACTCATCGTAAGCTTGTTCATGTGAGCAATCAGGTCTGCCTCATTCGCTCACTTTGAGGTTCAGAACAAGCGCTCGGGTTCAACAACTTGGCGCCTCACTATCTCTCTAGGTATCTTGTAAACCCCGCACTTGCAAGGCCCAGACTCTCAGGTACGTGACAAACACATTGCATATCGATGCCGCATTCTCCGATACTTCGGGGCGGTGTCGACTCAAACCTCGTCTACTGGTCTCCCGCAGATGACCGAAGATTCTGCGCTATCTATCTCATCCCGCGAACCAAGTGTTCGGGCAGCAAACTTGTATCGACCACCATCGTGAAGGCGGTGACGCTGTCTCTTGACCCGAACCAGCGCACGTGTAGTGAATCTTTGCTAATTGAACTTCGTGTATAGTCGGAGTACCTAGATTGATCTAGTCTCTCGTAACCGCTTGGGCTCATACCATAACCACTCTTGGCTCTATCAGACCTACAAATTACAGTCTCATCACATCGCTGCTCTCTACCGCATCCACACACCACCTACACGCTACAGCCTCACGCAAAGTTGAATACCGTCGGCCTTTACCTCTAGGGCTTGAAACGTTGCACAGCCTCAACGCCTATCTTTCTTCCCACACCACCCCATCAGGCATCGTTCAATGTCACCTTCCATGGTCGATCCTATCAAAGTCGTAACTGGGGACTCAGTCGCGACACCCAATAAGGCCTTTGCACCAGAACTCCAGGATACCAAAGTCACATCTCCGACATCCGACTCTAGCGGTGATACCCTTCATGACGAGAGCTCTGACGTCCGCTCCAGCGGTGATGGTCTTGAGACTCCTAATAGCCCTGTCAGCCCAGAGAACCTCAACTTCAACGGTTTGGCCATCAGCGGCGGTGGTGTTGATCTCCGCAGGGACACGGTAGATCGCTACACTAACCCTTATCAGCGCGGACAGAAGCAACACAACGAGCCGAGTGTCTATGGTCCTCCTGGTCGTGGGTTCGGTGGCAACAATCGATTTGGAGCTGGCTACAACGGTCGAGGAGGTGGTGGTGCGGGTACTTATCGCAACTCGCGAACATGGATGTCCCCCGACGCACAGGTCCAGCAAGAGTTCCTCATGATCCGTAATGCAATGCGCCGACTCTTCAAGAACTCTGACGTCTCAAAGTGGAAGTTGAGCGACTATGTTGCTCACAAAGAGGCCATGCTAGCATCGCAGGCGAACAAGCTCGCAAACCAGGTCAAGAGCAAGGAAGACGCCCGTTTCGTATCCTCCCCCATCTCCTCTGACGTCCAGAAGACACTCACTAGGTGCGGTCTAGAAGGCAACTTTGAAGAGATCGGAAACTACGGCCGCGCTCTGGGTGAGCAAACCATCTGGTGCAACGACTGGGAGAACGGCAAGGACGAAATCGCTCCGTGGCCTTCAATGGCTGAGATGAAGTGGGAGGGCGATGACCGAGCCAAGACAGGTGTTGGTCGCTTCCTTCCTCTTCCCCGCGAGGAGGGTCCTCCAGGTCTCATGTGGAACCAGCTCCCCGCCATCGAGCAGTACCCCATGGACCAAGTCTGCAAGATCCCCACCATGGAAGACGTCTACCTCCCCGTCGACTACCATATCGAGCCAGACCACGAGTACCTCTGGAACAAGGGCCTGGAGAAGGAGATGGACGACTTCCTGGAGTCGTAACAATCTCCTTCCATGCACAAAGCCTCACACTATGATAACCACGCTTCGACATCACGGTCTGCAGGTCAGCTTTCACCTTTGGAGTACTTCCGGTTTCGCATCGATTTGGCGCACGTCCAGCTTCCAACCAATGTGACTATTAGCTACTACAACTGTCACCGAGCTATCTGTGGCCAAGTCGATCTCCTTTCCGGTGAGGTACCGGTTGTTACCTTTATGTTATGGGCCTTGGCTTCCTTTGGAGTTATTCGCATCCTTGGGATTTGGAGTTACGACACATAGACGAATCGATAGGAATCGACTCATGCACACAGCCAACGATCACGACGACACAGCACAAAGCCTCCACTTCACTCTTCGATACCCTGGCTGTCATGACTCGCGTTGTTGGCTTCTGGTCTAATTGGAAGGCAACTTTGGAACACGCGTCATTGACTCATGTGCATTGCTTGCGTTGAACTTTTTGCTTATCAAATTACGACAAAATGGAGAGTCATTGGGAGGATGCGGCGGAATTGGTATTGGGCATCGGAGCCGGATGCATTCGGTCTCATTGCGTTGGTGCGTTCTTGCGATAACATATCCTAGTTACTCTCCTCCAAAAAAAAGTGCTTTACACTTCTGCTTCCTGCCGCTTCATCAAGCGAAGCCGTGACTGACATACTGGCACCCGACTTCAGGGTCGTTAGGAGTTGCTGCAATGGCTCTTATTGCCGCTACCCAATCCTGCCAGCGCTTCCATCTAGACCTCTTCTTCAGTCCAGATGTCCAAATGCTCTTTGCCCCGCTCGCTGTTCGTAACGATGGCAGACCGCGTGGGGAGCGGTAGGTGCCTTGTTGGCTCGGTGATGACCATTGTTTCGCGTGCCATTGGCCCTCGCATCCTCGTGGCAGGTTTGAGTGACTTCACATGTCACCGCCTATCCGGAGAAGACCGACACTACCCAAAATCCCACGCACGTCGAATCCCGGAATGACTCTTCTTGTCCCCGGTGAGCAAGTCCAAAGGCTAGACCCTGACGCCACGAGCCACGTAGATTGGCTTTATCGAATGGATGTCGACAGTGAGACTACGTGCCCGATGGTACGGTGATGATGACAACTGCCGTTGACAGCGCGGCGGCTTTGGGGTCGGACATGCTGTCGATGTATAATCTCGATCTCGGGGTAAAGCTTATCTTCCAAATATCGGCGCCGTAGTTATAACAATCCGCGCGTGATTCGCGAAGAAAGAGGAACCAGAAATCGTGTACTCGAACAACCGGACGATCTCGCATACTTGATATACGAGCCACCAAGCTTCTTACTCAAGTGACCTCTCCTGCTCTATCCTGTGATACCCCAATCAAGACCGCATCATAGCGCCACAAGCAGTAGATACGCCCGATCGGGTGCCTTACCGCGAGGCGTCCATCATCCACTAACCCAAAGCGGCAGGGTTCACGCTTCCTTGACAACACATCACCGCATTTCACCAGCGTGCAGGAAGACGTTATCACGGGTCATCATTGCGCCGTGCACAGTACCACCTTAGATCTCGCTTACAAGCTCACAGCTCACGGCTAATACCACGATCGTGACAACCTTGGAAAGGGTCGGTTCGCGAAAATGTATCTTTAGGTCTACACTTTACCAACTCTTCCCTCCCCTTCCCAGCCCTGTCTCAAAACCCATCTATTGCTTCCTCATCCTCATCCAAATCCTTAGTCATATGCAAAATCCGAATCCCCTCCCCATTTGGACACGTTACCACATCCACCCTCCCACTCCTCACATACCCACACCTCTCATACAACTGCACTCCACTAAGCGTCGCCCCCATCTCCAACCTCTTAAACCCGTCCGTCTCATCCGGCTTGCCTTCCCTCGCCCTCGCCTCGCAATACCGCATCATCATCGTGCCCAGGCCTTTCCGCGCATACTGCGGACTCGTGAAGATTGCTCGTATGCTCGCGCGGTCAACGGCTGGGTCGCGTTTTTCGGGCATGCGCAGCGGAGAGGGCGCGGAGTCCCCGCCGTACAGTGTTTTGCGGAAGGACCAGCCGCCGCAGGCGCAGATTGTGAGGGGTGCGTTGAGGGGGTGGAGGATGTAGTATGTTCTGTTTGCGAGATCATCAACTTTACTATCCTTTAATTCCCCCCCCCTCCTTCCCTTCCACTACCCAGGTTTCTGGATCTGGTCTTTGGCAATGCAATGTGGAGAAGAGGGGTACATATCCCCCCTCCCTCTTCCGCAAATGGATAATGCTTGATGACAGTTGATGACGGACGCCTTATTCTCATCCATTGATTATGATTGGAATTATACGTACTGGTCTTTGATGAGAACGGAATCTGGACCGAAGAGGTAGCCTATTGAGCCGTCGAGCTCGGCGTCTGTATAGTACCCTTTTCCCAGGCTGCGGAGGGAGGATGCAATCATGGATTGCAGGGAGGGTATGTCGGCGGGGGTTGCGGGGCGGAAGGTGTATTGGTGGGTTGCTTCTTGGGCTTTTGCTGAGGCGACGGGGTCGTGCATGTTGAATTTGGGGATGAGTGCTCTATGTCTTTTGGGGTGTTTGATGAGGGTTGTATAGGTCTTTTACTGTGTAGATGTATCTTCCTTGGGAGTTGGTGCATTCGGTCCAATCATACGTTATCGTTATCGCGAGGCTTGGGAGTGGGATGCTTTCCGACGGAAACCATCCCTGTTCCGCAAGGTTGGTTGCTTCGTATCGATCATTCCGAAGTCTATGGCGCGTCTTTCTTTCCAACAGTTACACGTACGAGTCGTAGAGGTGTATGTTCCTCGTCCATAACGCGCATCTCATAAGGTTTGCCGGACGGCGCGCTTTGACCACCGCGCGCCGGTTGATGTCGTTATTCTAACTTTCCGCCTCTGGCACCCACGTGGCACCATCGTCTTCCTCCAACAACCATCTTACAACAACTCTCGAATGATCCCAACCCCTGGCACTGACTGCAATAGACCTGATAACGAAGATTGTGCAATGTCAATGTCGACCCGACCCGGCTCCAGGCCCAGAGTGAATAACGGCGCCCCGCACTTAGCGAGATGAACAGTCTGGAAAAGCGAACGCGAGCATCGACATGTTCATCACAATCAATGCCGTTTTCCCTCCGAGTCATATTGCCAGAAGCTCATGGTTGGATCGACTCAGCGACTCATCGACTCAACGGCTAATACCAGGCGTAAGGTTAAAACGATCGCGCCTTCCTTGCGAGTCATCCTGAGCGGGCAGGTGATGCGGATGAATGGGGTTGCAGAGAGATCATGGAAGCATCGATCGCAAGATCCAAGATCCTCAACAACGGCAACACCCTGCAGTGGCTGATGCTGTACCTGCTTCTTTTGCTTCCAAGAACTGTTCGTTTTTGGCGTCCGCAGGATGAAGCAGGGTATAGAGTCGTGCACCAAGGGTGTTGCGATGGCTAGTACCCTTTGGACAGATTGCATCAACATCGCCTGCAGCATCCTGACAGCAGATTGTCGTGGGTGGAGGCGAAGCTCGTCTTACATGCCCAGTCTGCCAGCATCGCACACACTAAACAAATCCATCTATTGGAGTACCTTTGCGAAAAGATTTTCAACGTCACCAGACGTCGCAGTCAAAGGCAAGAAGGCATGGCTTCCATGTGCGGCGCATTCCGTTCACAACGGTCAACTCGCGGTGCTGGCGTTGCCAGCGTTTGGCCATCTTTGGTGCGCTTGCTTTTTGTATCACGTTGGGTGTTGAAACAGCTAAGAGCGTCAGGCGAATTTAAAATAGCACACGGTCCATAACGGGACGCTCCCGTGACGTCGATCAGCCCTATACCAGCAACGGCAGCAAATATGCGAAAGCTTATTTGCGTTTGGAAGCGTTCTTGACAACGAACAGGAACTTCGCTATATGCAAGACTGCACTATCATGCAGAAATACCTCCATCCGCAGACTGCCCAATCGCATCACATGTCGAGAGTTTTCCTCGCATTGCTTGCGATGAAGTCATTCCGCTTTTTCGAGACAGCCGTTTTCTTGTCAGCTCAACCTCCTACACTGACAGCTCGGAGACGGACGTCACTATGGCCAATGATTCACAGCAGAGTTCACAGCGTACCGAGGCACGGCAGGCACGTTGCGGTCGCACTAGGAACATCCTCGCGTGGGGCACTGCCCTGTAGCAAGATCAGCCGGGGTGACTAAAAAGTAAAGTCCAAGCGCATGAATGATGATAGTGCTTTTTCGGTAGTCGGATCATTTGAGGGTCCTGAATGGTCGACCGTACTGGCTGTTCGAGTCGAGAGGCTCAAAGTGGGACTGGTATTCCTCCGTACCCCATCTCCACCATGACTCTCATGAGAACTCAACCTACTTGGCAGCACTTGGTAGCAGTTGCATGACTGGGGCTTGTTGTCCTTGCAATACACCGATGCAGAGTTGGCCAATCCAGTGTCGAGTCGACGAACACCTTCCTCGGCTGTGATCTTAGTTACCGGTTGTTTCCACTCCATCGATGAGCCCACTGATACCTTGGCGGTGCCTGGCACTATGCCCTGTCTTCTCGACTTGATCGTCGTCATGGGTAGATTGAGCTTGGCCATATGCCTGGCCGAACATCTTGGGATTATAAGAAGGTAGGACGCCGGCTTCAGTTGGAGATCATCATCAGTCAACACTGTCGTCAACACTACAGTTCACAGGCCCGGTGCTTACATTCGCTCCTACCTTTTTCGCTTCTTCTCTATCTTCTTGTCAATAGCAGATTCAACTTTCATCCCACTTCCCCCTATCCATCCACCAGTCAACACCATGTACGCCAAATCCGTCCTCATCGCCGCCCTTGCCGGCTTCGCTTCCGCCAGCCCCATCGAACTCGAGAGCCGCCAGCTCTTTGGTGGTGGAATCGGCGGCACAGGATCCAGCTCGAGCGAGTTCAGCCGCGGCGGCTGCAAAGACGTCCTCTTCGCCTTTGCCCGTGGCTCCACTGAGATTGGCAACATGGGAACAGTCGTCGGACCGCCCACCTCGAACGGCCTCAAGAAAGAATTCGGAGCCGACGCCGTCGCGACCGAGGGAATCCCCTACGCGGCCTCCATCGGCACCAACGTCCTCCCCGGCGGCACCGACACACGCTCCAAGAACATGATGGCCGACACCCTCAACAGCATGGCGCAGAAATGCCCCGACTCCGTCATCGTCGCTTCAGGCTACTCCCAAGGCGCAGCCGTCTGCCACCGCGCCATCGAAGGCCTCGACCCCGCCGTCATGCAGCAAATCGCCGGTGTCGTCACGTACGGCGACACCCAGAAGCTGCAGGACAGGGACCAGATCCCTAACTTCCCCAAGGAGAAGGTCAAGATCATTTGCCAGCCTGGCGATGCTGTTTGCCTCGGTACGCTGAGCGTGCTGCCTGCGCACTTGACATATGGTGTCCGTGCGGATGAGGGTGTAGCTTTCCTTGTGCAGCAGATTAAGGGTGTGCAGGCGAAGATCAAGGCGAGGAATGCGAAGAGGGAGGCGGAACAGATGGCTGGAGACGCTGAGTTGCAGGCGCAGGCTGCAAAGATGGACGCTGAGATGCAGGAGGCGATCAAGCAGGCTGCTCAGGAGATTGAGGCTTAAGCGTTGATTTGGGGATTGCCTAGAGGGGATTTGGGGCTGGATACATGTGTGGCTGGATCACTTGAGGACTTTTTTACGACCTTTCTTTACTTTCTTTTATCTTTTTTTCTTGGATTGTAGTGTTATCTTACGAATTTGATTGAATTGGGCCCAGCATATTTGAGCATCTTGCGTTTGTGCTGAGTGACGTCTTTGTGCAATTAGTGAGAAGAGCATCATGAGATGGGAAGAAAATGCATATGAGTTGGGTGTTACGGTTGATCGTCAACTAGATCGTGTCCGAGATAGGCAAGTTACGATAAGGTGTTGATTGTGGCACCGTCGCTTGCCCCGACTGCCCCGAATGCTCCCCGCTGCCTGCCCCGCTTTGATAAATCGCCGCAACGACTCAGGCTTCAGCCACCATTCTGACGAGAAGGCAACACAAGCGATAGCTCTCGATGCGTGGAAGTTCCATTGCGCCTTTTTCCCTTTCAGAATTATCTTTACCATGTGTTTCAAACTTCCAGTATGAGAAGCTCACGGGACCGAGATGACATCAATACCCAGCGCATATCATACTACGAGCCTAAAGGCGCACGAACAAACATATTCAACCCTCTCATTCCAAAGACGAGAGAATATCTGGGTTAAGACAACGTTCAGTGTACTATCAAACCAAATCGCTGCCGACAACAGACGCCCCGCCGCCCAGTCGTAGAATTCCATGGTCACGCCGTACGACATGCATACTAGCCTTGTACACGTGTACAAGATGCAGACAAAGGTACGGGATTAGGGAGTGCCCTGATGCTAGTCGTAACCATAGATTGAGCACTTCGTCCGGCCATTCACATCAAGCCCCGTTACACCATCACGCAGTGAGCCAGAAGCGGCCTCCAACGGCGCCGGCAGAAGAGACAAATCGCCAATCACCATGTTACGCAGCATACCAAGAAGAGCCGAAGCGAGACTAGGTAGTCTGCCACTATGGTGGAGTTACGCAGTAGCTCGCGGATGATCATTCGCTGGGAGAGTAGCTGCGAGGACCATTCGAGCCCATACACTCTCCTACCTCTACCATATCAAGACGAACTACCACACTACTTACCAACGCGGAATCCTTTAAACACCGTCTCTCAGACAATACCAAACACGACACGCCCACCATGCCCTCCCCACCACCCACGCCCGAAGAAGCCCAGCGCCGCCAAACCGAAGCGCGCGCAGCCGTCACGGCATCCCTCGCCAGCGTCGGCGCATCCGTCGACAACGAGATGCGCACGCGCACCGCCGACCTGCACGCCAACTCTGCGGCAATCGCAAAGCAGGAAAAGGAGCTAGCGAAACAGACGGCGGCGCTGGCGAAACAGACTGCCGAGTGGGATAAACTGCTGCAGGGCGGCACGAAGAAGTTGAATGAGGTGGGGGATATTCAGAACTGGGCGGAGATGATTGAGAGGGATTTGCTGGTGTTGGAGGAGACGGTTCGATTGGTGGATGGGAAGGGGAGGGAGAGGGAGGAGTCGGCGAGTGGGACGGGGGGTTGGTAGACGATATCAAGACATGGTATGGAACTTGTGGCGACGGTCGTATTATGAGCGATGTTGTGCTGTTGAGTAATATATAATATTGTTATCAAGTCTCCGGATTGCATGCCCAGGTATGCGCTGCCTTGCGGTGGTGAATAGTGACATGTCCTATCGGAAGTTATATGGGACGAAGGATGTCAGTATAATCGACCCATTGATAGACCTACAAACGTCCCAACAGGTCCCGCGCTACCGCGAGCGTGATTATGTCTCGTCACCTTCTGCAGAGACAGTGACGACAGCGCGTCGCTTTCGTGACGCTCTAAGCTTGGATCATCGGGCACGGACCACGTCTCCATGATTGCGGAAACTGCTACTTGCGGTGCTCGTAGCTGGAGCTC